CTTTCAAATTACAGCAACGCGGTCTGACCTGCCCCTCCATAACCATTGTAGTTGTTTTTCCTCAATTTTCAAGAACGACTTCCATAATTTTTGTATTTCCTGTGGTCGCAGATGCAGGACTGCCCTGCTGAAACGACGATTTTTGAACCACTTATGGATAAATACGCCGAGGAAAAATTGTCAGGGGAGATGAGTTTATGCTTTTAAAACACCACTGGTCCACAATACCTAGCATATGATAAAATACTGTTTTGCAAACTGCGCCATAATTAGGGTGTCGGTTTTGCAGCTACTTTCAACTCAGAAAGACTACTCAAATCGGGTTTTAATGGTGAATAAGTGGCCATACATGGCGACAAGCTTTGAGGCGGTCAAGAAACAAAAGTAAACACTCGGAATTAAACAAGACGAAATAGTAGCAAAGGCACTTACCCAAGCTTTGAATGGCGGTGCAGGAGGAAAGTGATTGAAGGTGAATTGCGTCACGAGACCTACAACGTCTTCATCGAGAAATTGACTCTTCTTTCGCAGGATTCCCGCCATTAGCTGTGAAGAAAAAAATAATTATGCATGAGCTAGCAAAAGGTTTTATCAGTTTATAGCAAAGTTTTTCTAAGGCTTGAGTGCTTGGTGGCAATACTATGCGTAAAAGTGTTGAAGAGATGATGGGCTTAATTAGTGGTGGCATGTGACTACATTCACCTAGCTAACAGAAATTACTTTCAGATAGCTAAAAATGGCAGTTGTTCGAGGTAAAGATGGCTGCGAAACCTTTACCCGAACCACATTAGCGACGAACGGCGCCTTACAATACTATCAAAGTAAGCGACGTGCGATCAGCACCAGGAATAGTAGTAAAAAAGAGCAAACAGCTATCTCTACGATGTAAAAATAATCAGCGGAAAGTTGGATTTACCCATCACTTACTAGATATTAGGAAAATTCTAATCTACTAAGAAAAATACCTCCCTAAACAGCAAATAAGCCGCTCACAGTAAATATGGATTTTGCGTCCACTCGAAATTCCCAAATTTACACGGCTAATGAATCGTATTTTACGTCACCGTAAGGAAAATACTACTTATAAATTCCGCTAGTTAACTCCTTAAACCTGATATTGTCCTAATTCGGTGCAAATACTACTTGTGGGGAAGCGTTAGTCATGCACGTTAAAAACAATAGTAGTGGCGTAAAAAATGATCTGTAGAGACATTTCTCACCGTCGAAGGTAAATGTGCTATCTTACAAACTCACAAATCGCCAATGGAGCGTAAAGCTTTTGTCGTCTACTAGAGCTTAAAGAAAGAACGCTCTAATAAAGCCCATTCCGGCCTATTAGTATCGGAAATACTAATATAGGTATTGCCAGCTTCTCAGCAAATAATGTAAAATTCTAGGATTTAATCGTTTCCCAAGAGCCATTAAAGTCACCCACATAATATCTGACCGCTTCTTTCTGCGGCAACCAAGACACTACTTAGAGGCCATCTATCTGAAATACGACTTTTAGGTACCCATATCTCTACGGAGAATTCTAGAAACTACTTAACCAGTATCTGAAACTCAAAGCCATTACCATAATACAGCCCAAAATAGTAAACAGCCTCGTTTTTACCAGGAGGCAAGTTAGCCACTAAGAGCTTCAAAGGTAGTACTTAAAGGCGATGCACCAGCCACACACTTGATATCCATGCAGACGTTTAACCTCGGCAGCAGTAGCATGACTAGCCCCGATAACACAGAATATCGCACGAAGAGAGTTTTTCAGCTGCGCTGGAGTATTGGCCAGTGCGAGGAAGGAGAGCAGCAGCCCGGTAGGGTTGGCGACAGCGCTGAGGAGGGTTCCAAGGGCGCACGGACTGAAGACACGCACTCCCTGATAGCCCACTAGTACCGCGCCGAGGCTGCGAGCAGCTCCCGCCAACTGAGTGGCCAAGTTGCGCAGCACGCGGATGGGTGTGAGGTTCTCGCGAAGGGGCATATGCAACTGCGGGAAGTAGAGGGAATAGACGTAAATCCATAAGCACATAGGGGTGAGTTCATTCCTGGGTGGCGGGATTAAGAGATTGTGAGGTAATGGTGCGAGTAAATGCATACCCTTGGTCACACATGTGTAGTCAAGAAACGGCTCATGGTCTGCTTGATTTGGTCGAAAGAAGGACAAAGGCGGAATAAAAGACTTCCTTTCCGGTTCAAATATTTTGGTAAGTTTACAGCTTGGAAGCACCCCAGCCATAAAGCTAAGCACAAATTGTACACATGCCCAAGTGCCATTTCACCGCCGTTTACGAGCACTGATTGAGTTATATCTTTTGGGAAAATAGTGGATACCAAAGTGTTGAATACGCATGCGCACAAGCTCCTGCATGCACACGATGGGATAACACAACGTGTAGCCATGAAGCGCCCAAATTTAGGGGTGCAAGAAAGAATTAATGTAAAATGTGGAGCATTGGCTTTGATTCAGAGGTTGTTGGCGGAACAACATGATTTGGAGCAGGGGCGGGAGAGGGGGAAGTTCTCAAGTTCATTCACACAATACTCAATAAGCATTTAAGAAACTACTCATTATCTGCAAAAGTTGAGAGAAAGGTCGGACTTAGAAGTGACTGGTAAGTAGGTATTTTTTCAGACTACAATAACACCCGCGAATTCACGGATCCTCAAAATTTGCATTAGAACTCAACTAATTTGTAGCCGCGATTTTTTCATAGGTAAGTAAAATTTGTGATTACTCGGGAAAACTCTTCAAGAATGTTTGTTTAATTTTTAAAGTAAAGCATAAAGTTGTATGCGTTAAGCGGAAAACCGCTATGAAAAGTTTTGCTAAAAGAAGTTCCTCTGCACATTGGGAGAAAGTGAAGCACAAAGAAAAGTGGTTAAGGAATCCCTACAAAAAACCCTCTATTTTTACTGAGCTGTGCCTTCGTTGGGGCATGAAGTTTACCTAGTTCACCCTCCTGATAATGGCCAGGCAAGGTTGACCAGTACGTTTGCAGTCTCATTCGTTGCTTGGCTTCATCTTACCCTAGGTGCGAACGAAAGCGGCAGGCAGTGAATTGCTATACGGTAGGGGTAATAGTAGTTTACCGTACTGTAAATGTGAAATACTGTGCTCCAATTCTACGTCATTCACTTGTTTTCAAGGGAAAAGTATCAAGTTAACTTTAAATGGGACCGAATTGCTTTGGTAACATGAGTTTTGCCATATTTAGGAGTGAAGTTCTAGAAATACGCATTTATTAGCATTTGTAGTAACTCAGACCAAACATTCGCGGCCCCTCCCAATCTGCGGCGGGTTGAGGAGCTTAAACACGCAAATGTCCGGAGAGTATTGCCGTACATACAATTGCATATACGCAAACATGGCAATAAATGCAACCATACATCAGGACAACTCATGATCTCCCTGACCAGAAGAAGTAAGAGTAAAAAACTTCATGACTCATGGAATACTGAAAATAAAAACAGTTGATGGACAATTTGTGGTCCTTTAAGAAATGGAAAAAAGATAAATTTTGACGAAATAAGAGGAATCACTTCTTAGTTCCGGATTTGTCCATATTCCTTTCGTTCTTCCAATGCAACCAGAATGATAGTAAATGCGCACATGGTACGTGTGTAAGTCGCAGAGGCAAGCTTGCTTACAGACAAAAAATGAAGGAGGCAGAAAAGGACGATTTATTTAACCTTCAAAGGCATGAGAAAAAAGAAATTAAAATGCGATACAGCACCATATAATAAGCAAACACAAATCCATCATATTTGGTAAAAAGGGGATGTAAAAATTCTTACTTGATCAATAAAACTCCCTTACTGATCGCCTTTCAGAATTACTAGGTGGCAACAAAGAGGATCTTTAAAATATTGAAAAAACTGCTCATTTATCCAGATAGGATCGAAAATAGAGCAACATATCAGTCTTAATTAAGAAGAAAAACATTTGGAAATCATAAATCGTGACATTACCCCGACGCGCTTCTACGATAGCCAAGGTAAACAAAAACGCTCAAAACAGGCCACCACAGAGATTACCATCTCTAAAAGGAAATCAAGGTAAAATTTTGCACACCTTACATGTTGAAGATGGACCAGAAAAAGCCACTTTAAAAACTATTAATTTTAAATGCAATGGAGAATTTCGATGGCCGTTAGGTGCATGAAAAAATGTTCAAAATCCACAGTCAAATAAATGTTGATACATAGCCGAAGTTAAGCCTGATTAGAGGTCCGCGAAAGAAAAAAATGTAAGCAGGGATAAAAACCCACGTTCGTAAAAAACCCCTCACACCCTGATTGGGAAATGTGAGGTAGGATTAAGCAATTTCTTCCCAACGCAAGGAATTTTTATAAATAGGAGGTAGAGGAAATGCCAGTGTACCAAAAAAATACCACCCCAAATCAAATCGTTATCCAGCCAGTTATGAGAGGATTCGTGATGCACTGTTGGAAAGTTAGTATTCTGTCTCAAAGATGTATGTAAGTGATGTCAGGAGGAATGTGCTCACTTATAATTATTTGAAGAGCTCTACGTACATAAAACAACATGTTCTTTCAAACTCAATACACAGACAATTACAGTAACCGAAAGGGCCACTTACCACTTTACAGATAAGAGCAGCGTCAGTGGGATTGTAAACCCGACGAATGCGAGTGATAGTTAGCGTCACATAGGTGCTTCCACATGCAGCAAAACTCAATTTCTCCTCAGAGAATAACGGTTGAAGGATATCCTGACCATCTAAATTGAATGGCGGAAAATTGTACTTTAAATTTGGAAAAGAAGGCAATGAATTTCTGCTAATTTGAAATATACTTTTCATGAACGAAGCAGAAGAAACAACCAATCTAAAATAGCTCCCAGCTCTGTGAATCCACAAATAGTCCTTTCCTCACAAATCCATTAACAGTATTAACGGCATATTTCAATCCCATTTTCAGACTGTTAAATAAATAAATTCAATACATTTCGACTGATAGACCGCTACTACGACTCAGAAATGTACCTTTATAATTAAGCAAGCTAATGGGTTGTTAGCCTCCCAACTCCTTTCAATGTACACAGTTGAAAGTCATAAATCAGAATCATGGTTGCACCCTCCCTCTTCCATTACTTGAACAAACTAATGACGGACTTTTAGCTCTTCGGCTGTAAAGTTCAAAGAGCAATTGCTCCAACACGAAAGCTTCTGTGCTCTTCGGTTGCAATAGAAGGGATAAGAATTCCTCCAAGACCGTTATTTGCCAGATCAGAAAGCTATTGAAAGTGATTTTTATGAATTCATTGCAACCATACTAATGTATGCATAAGATAAATTCGAATAATCTAACTGTTTCCTGTTAGAGAAAAGTGGAGAACTTCGAGTCAAAGCCGTGCACTTCCTGTTTAATGCCAAAACAGAGCATTCGTGTTTGCCTGGGTTACAAAAGACTTGAGCAACACCATATCTCATTGGTCAGCCATCAGTCCCGCGCCCTAAACAGTAGCCACAACAGGTTTCGTCCGATCAAAAACCTGCTCCAAAGAATCCCAAAGAAACCCACGAGATGACCACATTCAAAGGAGCAAGCACACACTAGGAGGTGCAGGCGGGGCCTGTAAGCTGCCGATGTATTCAGGTCCAAGAGCGGCGATGAGTGCGACCTGTCCGGCAGTCAGAGGTTCCTCCACCAACTGAAAGGGGCCCTGACGCCAACGTAGGCTGCAGGGCTGATACTGACACGGTGGGGTGCCCACAAAAGCGCACACTGAGGTGGTAACGGTGCCTGAGCCCGGGGGCGCGAAGAGAATCTGCGGAATTAAAAAAGCAAGCAGTTTATGACTGATGGAAGTGAACGGTGAACGATTAATTGCAGAGAAATTTGTAATGTGCAAACCCTTAACTAATTTTACTGATAACAAAGTACAGTTCCTTCCAAATTCTGCCAAATCAAGATTATGTAACTTTAAGATGGCAGCAAAAATTCAAGAAATCGCTTAAAAAAGGAAGAACTTACAACGCAGATTAGCAAGGTATTAAGCTAAGAGAAACCCCATTCGAACAAAATGAAAGAAGCACCTGTGGTACATTTTTAGCTATCTCGAAAGATTTTATAACATTTCAAAAGGATCCAACCATCACAAGTTTTGTGACGCGATTCGTTAAGAAAGGAGGGAGCACTTCAAAAATTGTAATATGGGAGAAGCAGACGGATGCTTTAAAATAGACTAAAAAACAGTTAAAAAATCCGTCAGTTGCATACCAGACATCAAAAGCGGCTAAATCAAGTCACATCTCTGAAATTAATAGGTGAAGTGACTTGCAAAGTAGATAACCCATCCATTTGGCAAATTTTGACAAACCGGATCGCAGGGACAATACTTTGATGCAGGAGAGGCAATCAAATGATCCGGATAAGTTTTGAAAAAAAATTTGAGATATCTTCAGCTTTTGCTGCATTTTAACATGTCTTGAAGCATTTAAGAGCAACCAAGAAACACCATAAATCAAAGTCAATTCCTACACCACAACTGGAGTGCTGCGTGACGACAATCTTTAAATGCTGTTAAAATTACCACGTGTCGGAGCTTTGAAATGGTAAACTTGTTTCGCTAGAAAAAATATCCCTGAAAATAATCTCCCTAAATGCTCGCCTTATTGCAACAACCATGAGGATGTACAATAAAACATTAACAAGCTAGATCAACATAACAAATTGAAAAAGGATTAGAACGTCAAAAGTGATTACTTGGTAATAACATCAAGTGAGTCCGAGGTAAATGACAACACCGTAATCAAAATGCACTGGGAACTCTTAAACAAAACGAATGGTATCATGTCAGTATTCGGTTATCAGGAGAGGTTGCCTAATAATTCTGTTTAGTTTTGTATAACGAAACTATTTAAGTGTAAAACGCTTGCTAAATTATGTGATTCATTGAAATAGTCACGGTTATGATCCTCCTAATTCCGGTTTTGCAAATATTATTGTCTTCAGAAAAAAAAAACAAGCAAACCTAGTCACTTCTGTTACTGTATGTATCATTTCCCAATTGTCTGTTCCATTTCGAGTGGAATCATGTCATTGTATAAAGCCAATAGAAGGTGAAAAGCGCCTGGAGAAGTATCTCATTCTAGCTTGAGCCACAAATCTAACGGGTAAGGGGCATGCAGCATCGTGTCAAAAGTGGACCTCCTCCTGACTGATATACTGGCCCTGGTTGTACCCGATGAAGTTTTGTTTGCACACCATCAAGTTGCGTTGTACCGAGTAGGGAAAATTTGAGTCGCATTAATTTGGCCTTCAACAGGGAAGTTGGAGAGACCGCTTCCGTCTGTGACCCAANACACATACACACAGCAAGCACGGTCTCCCGGAGATGAATTGTTGCACACCTCAGAAATGTGAGATGATGCGCAAATTGTTTGGGA